GCCGGCTCCCTGAGCCTGCCGGGATAAACAGGGTGTCCAGGGACCGCTCTGTTGAGGAGAAAACGCTGATTAGCTTCGTAAGCAGGTTGAGGCTTGGGCCCGCTCTCTGCAGCGTGGGCTGCACGGGTTATAACGCAAAGGCTTTAAGCTCCTCTAGGACAGGTGTTTGTCATCCCGGCGTTTCCGTGCGAATTCCCTCTTGTCTCTGGCTTCCAAGCGCAAAGCTCTTTCCTGCTAAGTGAACTTGGGAACGCGCTAGCCGAGGCAGCAGCGGTGATCTTGTTGGCAGGTGTTAATCCCACCTCGTTACACAGTTAGGAGGAGATGTCCGCGTTCGTGCTCGTGGGGAATACAGGCGCAGAAAGGGGAATTAGGAAAGACCTAGTTTATTTCCATTGGCTGGTAAAGAATTGTTCCCTTTTCCACAGAGCTCTGCCCTGTATTAAATCACAGAGAGTTGGGCTTTCCCTAGGAAAAAAAAAAAGATTTTTCTTTCTTTTTATTTCCCGTTAATGCATCAGATATCTTCGGTAATTGGTGAATGAGTTGGCATGTGCATGGGCTGCTCCTGGGTGAAGTTCAGAGGGAGTGCCCGTTCCTCATGCTGTTTCCATAGGGAATGCGTTGTCTGAAATATTTGGGTTTCTGTTTTCGGGTCCTTTCCTGAAAAGTGCTCTGTTTTTGTTTTCTAGTTCAAAGAAGAGATTTCCAGGCGGTTTAAAGCCAAACAGGATCAGCTGGTTCTGATCTTTGCGGGGAAGATCTTGAAGGATGGAGACACTTTGAATCAACATGGGATCAAAGATGGGCTGACTGTGCATTTGGTCATTAAGACTCCGCAGAAGTAAGAACCGGTGCCGTGTTGGGCGGGGGGACGTGGTGGATTTGGGCCATTTGTGAGCGGTGACAGGGATCTGGCAGGAGGAGTCCTCGAGGTTCCTGCTTTCCATGTAACTGGGGCTTATCCCTTGGCCTGTCTTTTTCCTACTTGAACACATTCCCTGTGTAAATTTACAGGTACCTCAGGGGGCTGAGTCTTCTCTAACACAATTATAAACACAGCACACAAACATGAGAGTTTGGTAATCGTGCAGGGGCCGCGTGAGCGTGGTGCTGCCGTAGCTCTGATAAATACGAGGCTTTAGCAAGAGTCACACTCCTGCTGAGCCCCCGTTGAATTTCAACGTGGCACATTCAGTACCTGGTTGTTCTGCTAGTTCCTGCCACGCGCTCCGCTCTTGAGCTCGTGCTGCCTTCCAGCTCCTGCAAACTCGAGCAGGACACACAGAGCACATTGATCCTGGGATCCTCGGAGACAAGCTCTCCGTACACACGTATCTGGATTCTGCATCTCTAGGCAGCCCGACAGGCTGGTGCCGTCTCCACAGCAAGCCCTGGTACCTGTGACCCGTTTCCAAGAGTAAACGAGAACGCTGCCCGCGTTGCTGGTTTTAGTCTCTAACAGCCATCGCTCACTGAAGACCTTGCAGCCTCTTCCTGTGCACAGAGAAACCAAGTGACCTCCCTGCAGCTTCCTCCTTCCCTCTCTTTTTGTTCAGCTTCCCACTTGCTTTGTTTCCCCACGTGCCCGGCCTCCTCCTCGGGGGCTTTCAGTTGACTTTCAGCAGCAATCAGTTGAATCTGGAAAATGGAAAGGGCTTTTCAGGTTAGATTTCTGTAAGTCATGGAGTAACAATGAAAGAAGAAAGAGAATTAGAAACAGGAATCGTTCTTGGGAAAACAACTAGTTTTGGTTCTTTGTTGGTGGCATATATGTATTTTTTAATTTGGAGGAAGTAAGGTGGATTTTGTGGGTTAGTTCCGAAGTGCTTCTGCAGGGTTGTCACTGCAGTGCCTGCAGATGCTTCGGTGTATCTTTAAACGTGGGGGTGTCTGGCCTTGGGCCTGGAGAGGAGCTGGGATCTCCAAGTGCTTGTGATCCAAGTGATCCAAGCCTCCCGGATCCAGGGATCCAGCACAGCCAGCAGCAAGGATGTGCACTCGCAGCCACGCTGTCCAGCAACATGTCGTAGTTTCATGGCACGGATGACATTAGCAGCTCGTGCCTCAGTTTCCCCCTCTCCAGAATAGAGCTAAATCTTCTTTTGTCCCCCAGGAGCACTGCTAGTAATGGAAGGAATTGCAGCAAAGCAGCTTCTGGCTTTCCTCATGCATTAGCCCTGCTCTAGCCTCCTGTGGCTCCCATCGGGGAGCAGGAGGATTTTCCTGTTTGGAGCAAGCTCGTTGCTCAAGGATATGGCTGAGGTAAATAGTTCAGTGCAATTCAAGGAAGAGCCAGCTGTAATTCAGAGTAAGACCAGTCAAGCCACTTGATGCAGGCCAGGATAAAATGTCAGGGCTGTTACACATCAGGATGGGAGGCTGATATTCCAACACATGGAAGGCATCTGGAAAACACAGCTGTGAATCTGTGCACACCGTGGTGGCTGCTGCTGGAACCACTGGCTTCATGGGCGACTTCAGAGTGCGGGGCACAGTCCTGTGTCCCCTACAGAAAGGACTCTGCTTAACTTGCCCGAATCTTAGGAATTTAATGATGTTTCTGTTTTTCCTTCTTGCAGAGTCCAAGATCCTACAGCTGCTGCTTCTGCCCCCACTGCTGCTTCCGCCCCCACTGCAACCCCTTCGTCTCCCGCTGCCCCGTCTCAGCCTTCCACGTCCGGCAGCACCGGCCCGGACACGGGCAGCGGCAGGGCGGCGGGCAG